GGCCAAAGACCCAGTGCAGCCAAATATACACATATTAACAAATAAAAATACTTTCTTAACCACATCTCAAAAAAATATGAATAAGCAAAAAGAGGAAGATGTGAATTACCTGAAATTCCACTCCTGTAAACATGTTCATATACTTTCAGACTTTTCCCCATTTTAACACACAACATATAAATGACAAAAAATGGCCTCATAAAATTATATACAGTTTTGGAGCCCCTCACCATTCAAGTACCTTAACTATATTATGAATGTCTTTCTCTCTTAGGCTTTATATGCACATCAGCATTTTTAGGAGCTACATGATATTCCACTGTTTGTATATGCTATAATTTATGAATGTTATTTCCATTATAAGACACTTAGGTTGTTTCCCTTGTTGTGTGTGTGTGTGTGTGTTAGTTGCTTAGTCGTGTCTGACTCTTTGAAACCCCATAGACCACAGCACAACAGGCCCCTCCATCCATGGGATTCTCCAGGAAAGAACACTGGAGTGGGTTGCCATTTCCTTCTCCAAAAGAAACTATAGAAAGAAAGAAAGTGAAGTCGCTCAGTCGTGTCCGACTCTGCGATGCCATGGACTGTAGCCTACCAGGCTCCTCCATCCATGGAACTCTCCAGGCAAGAGTACTGGAGTGGGTTGCCAGTTCCTTCTTCAGTTTCCCCTGTTACCCAGTTATAAACATTATTGTTTTCCTTTGTTCACTTGTGAAATAACTTGTATACGATCAACTATCAGATGTGAAAATTCTGGTCAAAGGTACACATACTACATTCATTTTCTAGGGTTGCTGAAACAAAGTATCACAACATGAATGGTTTAAATAAGAGAAATGTACTGTCTCACAGTTCTGGAGGCCTGAAGTCCAAGATGAAGGTGTCTGCAGGCTTGATTTCTTCTGGGGACCATGGGGAGAACCTATTCCATGCCTCTCTCCTAGCTTCTGCTAGTTTGCTGACAATCGTTGGTGTTCCTTGGCTTCTCCTCCATCACCCCAATCTTGGCATTAATCTCCAAGTGGCACTCTCCCTGCACGCCTGTTCATGTCCAAATTTCTCTTTTATAAGGTCACAAGTCATATTGCCACCCTACTCCAGTACGACCTCATCTATAATGGCTCTGTTTCCTAATAAGGTGACATTTAGATAACAGATGCGAAAACCAACATACAAATTTAAGAGGACACAATTCAACCCACACCATATCTTTAATACTTTTAATATATGTTTAATAAATTTTTAGAGTGCATCTTTGAGAGATGTAAATGAGGTAGCATTGCCAGGATTTGGGGTGACCGATTATAATCAGGAAAGGGATCAGAAGAAAGGGGTAGTGTTGGGTGATTTCTGAATATTGACCATGAGCAACTGAGTAAAATACAGGAAAACTATACCATGAGAGGGAGCTTGCTTGGTGGTTACGCTTTAGAGAAACTGAGTCTGAAGCATCATGGAACCAACAAGTGGAAATGTCTAGTCAGTAGCTATATGTGTGGGTCTGGAGTTTAGGAAAGACATAAATTTGTGAATCATCACTGCTAAAATGGAAGTTGAAACTCATGAAGATGGATGAAATCACCCACTAAAGTCACCCAGAAACATGAGATAGAAAGAGGACCAAGGGCAGAATCCTAGGAACCCCAATATTTAAAGGATGTTGAGAATGTTTAGTGCTTAGATCCCTTCCCGGTCCTTTCCTGATTACGTCTGTATCAGAAGTACACAAAAATACGGTGAGTTCTAAAGTAAAGCAGGGGTTCTTAACAAAATTCAGGATGATGGCTACCTCTGGTTGGAAATAGGCAGGTGATTACAAACTATAGTGAGACTCTGAAGGAAAGGACTGTGCTTCTCTGGAATTTATAATCAAGGACCTGAGTTAAGTGAATTCACAAAAGCCTACCTGAGGTAAGGGCGCCTAGTGGCTTGCTGAAGAATGAAGTTAACTGCAACAATGCTTCTCATACGGGAGCACAGATCCCCATCAATCGCTATGCGATACAACAGTAACTGCAGTCATAGATTTTTTAATAATTAAGAATACAACTTCATGCAAATAAAAACAAAGGATTGATCATTGGAAATTTTCACCCCTAAAAGAAAGATCAGTACTTTTACAAGCTTAGTCTCATTCAGATAGAATTTGGAGGCTTTCAATCTTCTTTAATGTATTAATAGCAATATTTTAGAAGGTAAAATTCTGTGTTTCTGGATTATTTTAGTGAACTTGCCAACAACAAAAATACTGTAATTATACTACCTACAAAAAGAATGAAATGGAATCAATTAACTTTTAATTTATAAATTACAAATTTTAATTTGTAAAATTTAAAAAGCAAACACTTTATTTTCATATTTAAATAATCTACAGTTATAAAATAATACCTTAAGAATTAGTATAAAAGACACTGAATTATATTTAAAATGAATTTTGTTATTTGAACTTCACCTCAATAAAAAAATTCTCAATATACTATGAAATCTCATTGTCTGAAGCATTCAGTATATTCAGTCCCAATAGCCTGTCCCAATAGCCTGTCCACGTTTTCCTTTTCAATAACAGCAGCCCATTCTCTCATCTTCTCTAACTTTTCCTGTTTATTCAGTTCATTTATTCTTTCTTTTCATTCTTTAGCTTCCCATGAAAGCATGGTATGCTTTCCTAAGGATTGGCATCTTGATCCAAACCATCTTTTATTGCCGCCTTGAATTATGCATTAGCCAATGTATATTTTAAGGCTGTTTTGGTTGCAGCTACTTGCAACTGAATATGTTCTGATGCATTTTTTCAAAGATCAAGTCTCTCTTGTAATGTCAAACTTGTTCCTAATGCTTAGCTCTCTCCTCAGAGTATCTCTTTTAGCCCCAAGTAAAGAGCTGGATATTTCCATGCGTTTATCATTGGCCACTGGTTCTTGTGTTTACAGTGATTTGCTTTCAACCTAGTATATTAATAATTTGACTATTTTCTCTTTTAGTTTCATTGCTATTAGTTAAGTGATATAGAAGTGTTCAGGTGGAAGCATTATATAATTCTCAGGATGTTTTAGAAATATATATGAATGGGAGTTTTATTAGTAAATTGCTTCCTTTTTTTTCAATTTCTTCATAAAGTATGCTATTTTTTGATGCTGCTCTTTAACAAGTCTTTTCTATTGATACTGGAAAACACAATAATTTTGTCCCTTAAAGTATTCTTCAGTGTTCTCTTTAGTTTTTCTGCTATAGTTATGTGATAACACAATTGCTCAAATGGAAGTTCAACAGAACTATAATTTTAAAATTAGTGTTTATAATTTATGTATAAGTGAATGTCATTTTTTTCTATCTCTAGACAGCATGAAGATATTTCCATTGTATGTGTTTATTAAAGTCCCTGATAACATGAACTGTAGTTGTAATTGCTTATGTATACAACTTAGTTGTACATAAGCAATTACAACACATAAAGACATTTGAAATTCAAAGTCTAGCTTTCCATACCAGTGGCTGAATTTACTCTAGTGAAAAACTAATACACTTATCAAAACAAATTCTGGCTAAAAACAAGCTGTGTTAAAATAATTTCCTCTTCTGTATGACTTACAAGAGGCAATCTAGGAAACAACTACATTCTTAATTTTCTTATGTCAGTTATGCTATATAGATTCTTGGGGATTTGGGTTTTCTTTTACGTTCTGATTAAAGACACAGTATACCTTTAAAATGAAGGGGAAAATGTCTGCCTGCAATGTACTTTAAAGACTTACCGTGCACAGACAATTAAGATTGGAATTTCCCTCTGCAGGAGACTTGGGAGAAGCAGGCAACAGATGTGCTTACACTCAGGTTCTTTTCTATCTCTCCCATATGCATTCCTCCTTCAAAGGAATCTTTGTCTTCCTTCTGCCAACTGGTAGTTTGTGTCACTGCAGGTGTCCAACAGATGTTGAGTTAAACTCCAGTCTGAACCCATGCACGCTCAGTTGCTTCAGTCACGTCCAACTCTTTGCGACCCCATGGACCACAGCTTGCCAAACTGCTCTGTCCATGGAATTTTACAGCCAAGATTACTGGAGTGGGTTGCCATTTCCTCCTCCAGGGAACCTTCCTGACCCAAGGATCGAACCTATGTCTCCTGTGGCTCCTGCACTGCAGGCGGATTCTTTACCATTGAGCCAGCAGGGAAGCCACAGATACTAAATTTGAATCCATAGATACTAATTAATTTTTTATGATGTTTTAAAGACTAAAAAAATACCAAAAACTACATTTTCCCCCACAACTGAATTATAAATGCAATAATAGCATTCTAAGTGTTTGGAAGGGGTACTTAAAATTTTCCTTCTGAATGGTGAGATTAAAAAAATTTCCATGCCCAAGTTATGGATTATTTCAATTCCTATATGATAAAATTTGACGAAATACAAAGAAACTTTAAAAATTCATAATGAAGATATAACAGTATAGAAGAATACTGGGGGGAGGCAGAATAAAAGGTTAAAAAGGCATATGCCAAAGCTCTGCTGTCCAGTTCAGTAGCCATGAGCTACATGTGGCTACTGTGCACTTGAATGTGGTTAATGTGAACTGAGATGTGCCCTGAGTATAAAAGACACAATGAATTTCAAAGACTTGGTGTGAAGAAAAGCATGTATGGTATGAAGACTTGGTATGAAGAAAAGAAATATCTCATTAATTTTTTATATTAATTACATTTGAGATGATAATATTTTGGATACCCTGGGTTGAATAAAAATCCTATTAAAATGGATATTTCGTATTTTTACTGGTTCTATGTGACTACTGGAAAATTAAAAATTATACATATGTGGCTCAAAATATGTATGTTTCTATTAGATAATGCTGCACTAGAGTCAAACTGCTTGTGTGCAAATCTTCTACTAATCCCTTGGTGTGTCATCATTATGTCTCAGTTTCCTTATCTGCACAACAGGGGTAATGATAATACTTAACCTGGGTTAAAGGCATTTCTTTTCTTTTTTTTTTTTTAGGCATTTCTTAGACATATTGATATGGGCATGTGCCAGTGATGAGTAACTAAGGGAACCAGCAGAATGATCAAAGAGTGAGCACTTCAGAGAACAGACTCGGAAATGGGATATAACTGAGAAGTGGAAGGATCATTGGAGCAGCTTATTAAAGCAAACAAAAACAAAGAGCAAAGCAGGCACCTAATTAAGCAATATTTGAAGATTTTCTCATGGTCATGAAAGCATCATGTTCAAGTCAGTGGATACAGAAGACATCTGGAAGGAATAGTACCAGATGTCAGATGTGCTGACCATTGATTAGAAATAAAAATCAATATGACTGAAAAGCAATGCTAATGATACGTCTGAGACTGTTTATTAGAGTCCCAAGGTTTCATTCTCCAGCCTTGCTGAGGAGGCAAAAATTGAGTTAAACTGAGGTTAAATGTAGAACATCAAGTAATGAATTGTGGTTTTAAACAGACTGCTGCCAGTGATTTTCTCAAACAATGAGCAAGATGCAGAAAACACATTCTGCTCTTTGTTGTTTTGGGACAAAAAAACCCAATCTGACAACCGTAAAGTTATGAGGATTAAATGAAATAATATACCTAAGGTGCTTACATGAGTAAATAATAGCTGTTATCACTGTTATTGCTAATTAGGAATATTATTATGGGAAAGTAATGAAGAGAAAGAAGAGTTATAGATTCACTACACCAAAAAGAGAATAGTAATGTGACTCACTTCAGAACTGGAGCTATTCACATGAAATCAAATTCTGAGGGGCAATTTTAAGAAAAAAAATAATGGAGAGATTCATGTTAATTTAAAATATATCCATATTTGAGAGCTATGAACTAATTTGGAACTGTTTAATATTTTTTTCTATGTTAGTAACAGTGATAGCATAAAATACATTTGCAGGTGGTAGAATTTAAAATTTGTGTAAATCCTGTTTGGCAGGTCCTCAAAAAGTTAAACATAAGAGTTACCATATGACCCAGAAAATTCCATTTCTGGGCATCTACCCCAGTGAATTGAAAATAAGTATGTCCACACAACAACTTGTACACAAATGTCTATAGCAGCATTATCTAAATGGTCAATACATGGAAACAACACAAATGTCCATCAATTGATGAAAAAACAAAAAGTGACATAGCCACACAATGGAATCATGAAAAGGAACAAAATACTAATACACATGAGTATATGGATAAACCTTTAAAACACTGTTAAGTGAAAGAAGCCAGACATAAATGCCCATACAGTGCATAATTCCATTTATATTAAATGTCCATCACAGGCAAACCCATTGAGACAGAAACCAAATTAGTGGCTGTAAAGGGCTAGAGGCAGGGGGAAATAGAACAACCCAACAAATGTTAGATTACTTCTCAGGGTGATGGAAATTTTTCAGATTAGATAGTGGTGATGGTTGTGAATATACTAAAATCCACTGAATTGTTTAATTTTAAATGGTGAATTTTATGGTGCTAAAAAAATGTAAATATGCAAAAAAAATAAAATTAGTGTAAATTCAAAGAGCTGATAGGATGGAAACGAATGATTTGCTTACTGATAAAATGTGACTATTACTGAAGAATAGAGTAGATAAGTGAATACTGAATTAACCAGAATGTGAAGAAGAGAAAAAGAATAATATTGAGACCTGTCAGGAAGTGAATTGACACCCTTAACAATCAGTGTAGAAGATACTCCAGGAGTGGCTGTTTGACCTACAGGGAGGCTAGCTTCCTTAAGAACCCGCCCCAGTAGCCAGGGGCAGGCTTAGGCAGAAATTGATGACCCCGAAGGAGGTGACTGGTCCAGAGATAGACATGTGACCTAAGTTATGCCATCAAGATCCGAACCCAGGATTTTGGAATTTGAAGCTAAGTGATATAGAAACTGAAAATTATATAATAGTAGCACTCTAAGGATAAAGGCCCATGAATTTATTGCATAAGATCTTAAACTTGCCTTGGTACCTGGTTCAGCAACATTCAATTAATACCCTCTGTCAGGTAATACGCCCTTGTAATATTTTGCTTCTTCCCCACACCAGTCCCCACTTTTTTAGCACAGGCTAGCCTGACTAGGCTTCTATTAGGTAAAACCATAAATAATATTTCAAAACAAATCACTTGAGGTAATATTTATATAGCATCAAGAAAAAAATGTTCCACTTTCATGTCATCAATGAGATTTTAAATACTAAATGTAAATACTCCATGATGTTTACTTCAATATGAATAATGAAGTTCTGGAAATTCCAGGAAAGATAAACATAGACATGAGAGAAGTAATAAAAGCTATCAATAAAAAAGAACATGATTTTTCCATTTAGCTTTATGATAATGCAGTAGGTGATCCTTATAATTCTAATTTTGAAAGTTAAAGATGATGGAAATCATGACACACATAGGTCCACATGACACACATAGGGCGGCTGTTTGAGAACTACTGAATTAAAACCTAAAGATTAAAAATATAGAATTTAAAATCATATTTTGGTTATCCAATTAGCTCATTTTTATAAACAGGGATTGAAGTAGTAGAAATTGATTACCTCAAAGTCAGGAGGATAATTTTAAGCTTGCTTCCAGAACCCTGACTAATGCTGTTTGGGCACAAATACATTGTTAAAGAAATGTTTCCTGACAATTAGAAGTATAATGATAAAAACAATGGTAACCTATTCATTACAACTTACTGGTAATCAAAGCTTGATTGTAAATGTTTAGATTGGAACAGTCTAGACATTTCATTAATACTTATTGCAAGTTTCAGAAATATTAATTTATCTACTTATGAGTCACTGTGGATATAAAAAACAAATCAAACTGCCCTCAAAACTTGAAATACTGCAACAGATTAACAATTTGATGTTCTTGTTTAAGACTTCAAATTGAATGTTAATTAGGTAGCAATATATCTTACAAAATTTTTCATCTCAGAAATAGTTCATTAGTCTAGAATTTTTTGGTTAGGGACATTTATAATTATTTCTCCTGTGACTGAGATGACATGGTCTCCTATGCACGTGACTTTGGTTATAAACCAGAAGCAAAGGTTTTACAGTTAACACTCTGCATGGGTAATTGCCTGCAAGGATACTGTACTGTGGACCTAGAATTTTTCTAAGAGGATACATCCCCATGTTAAGTGTTCTTAATTCAACTTAAAAAATTAAACCTATTTTTAATATATATATATGCATGTATACATACATGTGTATTTTGTATACATATATAACTGGTTTTCGAAATGAAAAAATTTTTAAATCACTTTTTCTTAATTATAGAAGTAATGGAGACTTACTACTTCGAGATGAGAGTAGTTGCATTTCTCCCCGTTCCTTCTGCCAAGTACAGCTAAAAACCCTGAACAGTATAAAACAAATATAAGAAAACTGAAAGGTGGAGCGAAGGCAGATTGGCTAGATACCTGGAAAGACAAGGCAGTGAGTTCTATGAGTTTTCTTTCTACTTCATATTTCTCAGATGGAGTGCTAGAGATACAGGCAACCCAGAAATGCCAGTGGTCTCAGACAAAAAAGCCTGTGTTCTTTAGACAAAGAACCAGGAAAGCCACAGCCTAGCAAGGGAGAAAACATTTAGTTAATAACCACCTGTGCAGAAGAGTCAACACTGAAAGCCTGAGCCTGTTGTCTGCAGAAAGTCCTATTTGCAAGGTTGGCCCTGGGCTGACATTTGGGAACTGCACTGATAGTTCCCTACACAGATATTAAACCTTCCCTAAATGAGTAGAGTGTCTCATTGTGCCTAGATTGTTCATGGAAACCATGTGGTTTATTACGCTCCCCTGTGTTCCTTCTGGGAGTCTGAAATTGGTATTAGGAAGTGAGTACCTACATGGCCAGCCCTCAAAAAAGCCTTGGGTACTGAGTTTCTAGTTTCCCAGGACAAAAACACATCATCCTGTTGTCACAATTCATGACTGAAAAACTGTGCACAGCCTGTGCCATTCCACTGAGACAGAACTCTTAGAATGTTGTGCCTCATTTCCTCTGAACTTCATTCCATGAAGGTTTTCCCTTTGCTGATTTTGCTTTGTAACCTGCTGCTGTAAATCTCAACGGTGAATACAACAAACTGAGTCTGTGAGTCCTCCTGGTGAATCACTGAACAAAGCAGTGTTCTTGGAGACTGATGACAAATTGACACACTCCAGCCAAACATCACAGGGAAAGTGGTGGTTCTATCACCTCTGTCAGCAATAGCCCAGTAGGAAGTCTAGGCCTTCAACCATGCCAGGTTATAAAGAGGTACTCCAACCCTCTTCCAGGATGGTGTAAGAGAAGACTGAGCAGGAAGCCAGAACTCTGACTTTCTTCCAGGGAAGGCTGCGTGGAGTAATGATGAAGCACCCTTCTGCCTCCCAACTCAGGTGGTATCAGTAGAGGCTGGTAAAGAACCCTCACCCTCACTCCTGTACAAGAGTAATGGGGTGCCCTTTCCTGCCTACCTGGGGTGTCAAAGGAGCATAATGAGGAACCTGGACGTCTACCACAACCAGGGAAAGTATATGAGGAAATAATGTCAGAAAATATTCCAAACTTTAAAAAAAAATAGACCTATAGAATAAAAAGGCTGAGTGAATTTCAAACAGAATATACCTAAATTAATCTCCACCAAGACACAGCATAGTCATCAAGAAACAACAGCTTATAAATAGCAGGAAAAACAATTCAAATGACAGATTTCTCCTCTGAAACTATGGAGGGCAGAAGAAAGTCACACATTTTTAAAGTGCCCAAAGAAAAGAACTGTCAATTCAGATTCTATAACCAGTGAAAATATGCTTTAGTAACAAAGGATAAGTCAAAACATTCTCAAATGAAGGAAGCCTAAAAGAATCTGTTCCCAGCAGACCTATCCTAAGAGAACAACTTAGAACAACAAGTTCTTTAAACAAAAAGGAATCTTGGAACACCAGGAAGGAAAAACAATGCAAAGAATAAACACATGGGTAATGACAACAGACCTCCCTTCTGCTTGAAATTTCTGATTTATATTTGATGATTGAAACAGAAATTATAACACTGCTTGATATGGCTCTCAATGTAAGTAGAGGAAATAATTAAAACACATATGAACTAGAGAGAGTAAAAGTTAAGGTTTTATACTTCACTGGAACTAGTAAAATACTATCACCAAATAACTGATATTAAGAAGAGGTGGCACGAATACACAGAAGAACTATACAAAAAAGATCTTCACAACCCAGATAACCATGATGGTGTGATCACTCACCTAAAGCCAGACATCCTGGAATGCAAAGTCAAGTGGCCTTAGGAAGCATCGCTATGAATAAAGCTAGAGGAGGTG